ACTTCTTCAAAAACTTCTTATTACCGGTTTGGCACCGGTATAAGTTGTTTATCCAAACACTCAAAAGTGTTTATTACCGGTATCATACCGGAATAAGTCAATAAGTTGTTTTTATAAGCAATCACAAACACCCCCCTTAAGGGTGAAGATCTTTTCTTAAGTTTCCCATTAAAACTTTCACTTTTACCGGAACTCAACCCCCCTCCCCCCCACACACACACATAAGAGGATCTTCTTTAGAGAACCTGTGAATTGTGATAACCTTGACAACTTGTGTATCATGTATTATTTTATATGATTTTTTTCATCTAAGACTAAGATTTAGAATATTCATTAACATACATTTGTTTCACATGTGATCGATTTACAATGTGAACCTTTTTGACGTATTTGTGAAACACAAAGTACACGTAAAAAAGTTTCATATTGTGAAAAGAATACATATAAACCAAACACGTTGTGAAACAAATATATTTAATCAATACATTAAGTAGCATGTTTAGATAGAAAAAAATATAAAAAATAATACATGATGCACAAGTTTTCAAGGTTATAAAATTTTAATGGATTCTCAAATGATTAAGCCTCTCTCTCTCTCTCTCTCTACACACACACACAGTGGCGGACGCAGAAAAATATATTGTAGGGGGCACAATATAAAATAAAATATATTGTTGCCGACATGAAGACCAAGTCTTTCCATTTTATTCCAACTATTAAAACCATCTGTTACAAAAGCATCACTCTCACATTGTCCTACATAATGATCTCTAAACAAATAACAACACAAACAAAAAGCTCTATCCGTTTTTACACTATACTCCAACCAATTAGCATATTGATCAAACCAAGTCGGACAAAAGCGTCTTCCTTTACTCCCGATAAAAATAACAAGATAAAAAAAAATCAATAAGCAAACAACAACAACAACCTACAAAATTAACCTAATCTAAAGCATTTACCAAATCACCAATAAGCAAACAACAACCTACAAAATTAACCTAATCTAAACCAAATACCAAATCACCAATAAGCAAACAACAACCTACAAAATTAACCTAATCTAAAGCATTTACCATTTACCAAATCACCAATAAGCAATCAAAATTAAAGACTGGAAGTCTGGAATCAAGAATTTGGAAATTAGAATTTTTACCCGAAGGCCGAATCAAAAACCTAAGTCGCGCTGCGCACAGGCAGCCTGCTGGTCGGCGTCTGGACTGGTACTCTGCACTCTGGTCGCACTTCGCAGGCTCGCAGCGAGCCAGGCAGCCAGGGCGATGAACAACACAGCAGAACAGGGTCGTCACTCGTCTGGTCCACTCATCCTTGTTCGTGTCTCTTCGGTTCTTCCCTGCTTCAGTGCTACTTACTGCTTCCTTCGTCTCTTCCAGAAGGACCAGAACTGTGAGTGTGAGGCAGTGAGGGGCCTCTCACAAAATCATGTTGGGGGCCCAAATGAAGAAAATTAAAAATTACAAGTTAAAAAAAATATATTGGGCTTTGTAACTTTTTTTTTGTTGGGGGGCCCAAGACCCCAATGCCTCCTCTTTGCATCCGCCCCTGCACACACATACGGGTTAAGCCAAATATCCCCGAAGTCAGGTTTTGGATTTTCGGATTTCGAAGCATTCTAGTTTTACACAAACACTTATCTTCGGTTTGGATTTTACGTTGCTGTGTACAATTTGAAAATTTGTTAAATGTACATGTGATTTGGCCTACAATTTTGGCTCTAAATTAAATCGTGTCAAATCGCTATGACCCTTAATTTTACCCACCATCGTTTGCATACATTTATTTAAATATTATATTTTACGGTATTGTATGAGTACACAACTGGTTTTATGAAATAAATAAAGGTTAAAAAATATTAAATATTGAATTATTTTAAACGACGAGAGCCTGTGGCAAGGCGCCACCATTGCATTGACGCGTAGAATGAAAGAGTCAAGACTTTAGTGTTTGTTAACAAAATCTCGCCAAATAAAACGGTGCCGTTTGACCATGGGAGCCCCTATATTTAATGAGAGTAAATTATATTCATCCCTACGATTTAGACCGAAAGGTTTATAATTTATAATTGTTTTCATTCTTATGATTTATAATTTATTATTATTTAATTTTTTATAATTATGAACAAAAATAGCAATGATGTACAAACCACAACAATGAAAACTGTAATTTAAAAAATTCAGAGAAGAAATCTGTAATTTTTCTTCTCTGAATTTTTAACAAACAACATAATTTTTTTGTATTTACTCTATAATAAGTAAACCCCACATTGATTTATGTGGTTTAAAAATAAAAATAAAATCTAAAAATCATACATTTATTTTAGTAAGTTCATTAATAATCATTGTGGTATCTATTTTGTTTTTAAAATAGTCCTTAAATCTAATTATGTTAGGGGTCGTTTACGAAATGCTTATTCAGTAAGTACTTATCGAATAATTTTCTTATTGAATGAATATGGCAAGAGCCAAGATCTTTACCGACTAAACGCAATGACAAGAATTGAGAGTCTTATCCGATAAGTGAGGATGAGGATTTTTACTCGGGTAAGTGCTTACCGGGTAAATTGTTGCATTCGATACGTTTTGATGTCCTAAAATCTTATTCATCAGAATAAATTATAGTGTTGGCTATTACCAGTAGATGCTTGCTGGGTAAACATTTGGGTAAACGGCCTCTTATTAGGAATACTGTTATTAAAATGAGTTGGAGTACAAATGTTATTTAACATTCCAAATATTTCTCTCTCTCACCTCCTCTCCCCTTCCCCTCGTGCGACAATCACACAATCATTCCAAAATCTGAAAACCTTCCCTTTACTTTTAACAACACAAACTAGTTAAGTCATGGCTTCTAGTTCACAAACCTCATCGAATGAATATGGTAAGGACCAAAAATCTTACCCGGTAAGAGCGAGACAAAGACCAAAAGTCTTACCCGGTAAATAAGGGCGACGACTCTTACCAAACGCTTACCAGGTAGATTGTTCCATATGATGTCGTTTTGGTGGACTAAAATCTTACCCACCAAATAAATAATAGTGTTAAATTTTACCGTTAAGCACTTACCTGATAAGTGTTTGGTAAACGACCCCTTAATTTTAAAAACCAATTGTGAACAAAATGTATACCGTAGTGTCTATATCTGGACATATTTAAGCACACAGACGATTTTCAGATATTTTTTGCATAGAACATGGACCAAAAGTCAAGTTTACTCTAAAATAATTTGGGTATTTTTTATAATTTAGAACATCATGAGTTGTATAATTGTTTTTTATTTGTAACAACTTACTTAGTTTAAGTTTATATAATAATAGAGACGGTGGTTCAAGGGAAAAAAAAAAGGAATAAGAAGGAATATATCTCAACATGTGGATCTAAAACGTAAATGACCTAGATTGGAATGTAACCGTCTCTATAACTGCAGATTTAGTTTTGAGAGAACTGTCGTTATTATTCACGATTGTCTGATTAAAATAGATCGATAATTCAGATAAATTCCCTTGTTTTTTTACTGTTCTCTCTTAAAACCAAAAGTATGGAAAGTATTATAATCTTGTCGATTAAAAATATTTTGTTCAAATAGTTATAATATAATCTAGTTGAGATGTCTTTTCATAGAGGTCAAAATATAGCTTCGGAAATTATATTTTTCAAAATAAGAATAGTAAGTTCTATTTTGATTCAGTTTGACAAAAATAAACTAGAGTCAATTACGTTTTCGTCTCTATAGTTTATAACTTATTACAATTTTTGTCCGTATACTTAACGATAAATCATTGATAGAGTTAGGGGTTGTCTTGTTAGTTTTTCATTAAGTTATGTACGGATAAAGTTGTTTGTGTGATTTAATTTGTCTGTATGGATTAAGAATGAATATTTTTGTTTGATAGAGTTTTTTTCATAGATGAAATGAACGTGTTTTTCAATCGGGAGGGACAAGTTTGGGGAAAATAACTTGACTTCAGCTTCTCTTATAAATTTACTGAACAAATCATTTCCTATATCATTAAGTCACTATCAAACTATTATGTATAACTATTTGGATGAATTGTGAATCTCATTAAGTTCATTAAACTACTAACAAACATATCATTTATCTTAATTAAAAAAACAATACTTAATTACAAACCATACAGATAAAAAACAGTAACATAAAATCAAAGTACTACTAAAAAACCATAAATAAACTAATAAATATATTAGACTAAGGGGGTATTTGGTAGTTGCTGAACGGTTTAGTGAAGAATGATTAAGTAGTCAGAATGATTAAGAGGCTCTAATGACATAGTAAAAAATAAAATATAATTGTTTGGTAATTGTTTATAATGAAATTAGGGTGCTGAATGGTTAAGGGAGACACAAGATGCAAAACCATTAAGAGGATTTTAGAACAATTAAGAGACAAATTTTTTTTTTTTTTTTGGCCAAATAAAATTCATCTCTTAACGATTCAGATACTGTCTTTTAATGAAACTATTAAAAGGTAAAAAACCAACCCCTAAGCAGCCACAAATCAGAACAATTTTAAATATTTAAATATATTTTCTTATTTAAATATTTAAATATTCCATCCAATTTAAGCTTAGATTTGCATTTTTGTGCGACAGTAGACTTTAAAAAGTCAAAGCTTTTCATCTCTCATTAATTCCTGTGCTATATATCTATCTCTCTGTGTATATATATATATATATATATATATATGTAAGCACGATCGGAGACATCCTCCTCCTCTTCTTCTACCACCGGAAAACCATCAACCGCTTCATTTACAAGAGGTCGCCGGAGAGAGAGGAAGAGGGAAACCGGCATGAGGTTGTCCTCCATATTTTAAACAACCACCATTATGCACAACCTTATATAGCCTTTGTTCAATCACCAGCGACCGGCGTAATTACGGAGGCTCCCGCTCCACCAAGTTGTTGACCATCTGAATTCCGATGCGACGGTGGCTTAGCTAGAAATTTGTGGGTCCGAATTTCAATGAATTGGTGGCAGAGCGCATTTCATTCTCCTCCGCCTCCCTCCACCACCGCCGACGATAATTATATCAACAATAGGACTAATGGTCGCATGTCCGATGTCGCCTCCTTGTTCTCCCGCCGTCGTGCCGTCGGATCTCATGACCGTCACCGTATTATCGATTCAAGGAATTTACAGCACCTCACCGACGACGACGACGACGATCTGACCCCATCCCGCTCCGCCGCATCGCCGCAGACCTTGCCGGTCCCTGAATTATCCGTTCACCTGAAACGCGATTCTCGCCGTGAAGCTGCCGCCAATCAGACAATCAAGTACCTTCTGCCGTCGCCGGAAGACGCAACTAAGAAATCCAATGAGAAAAGAGGAATCTCCGACGTGAATCATATCGATTTAAAAAACCCACCATGGTAATCACCTGTTCTTTCTCTATTTCATTCCTCTTTAATCTTGCCTGCAATTGCTTTTGATTGAGAAAAAACCTAAAATTTGATCATTTAGGAAATATATAAATTTTCTAGATTAATTTGTCTCTATAAATTTGGGAATTTTTTGTTTGAAAGGTTTTTTTTATTATAGACGGAAGAATTAAGAAGAATGTTTTTAACTTGGGTAGACAGATTTGAAAAAAACTTGGTTTTCTGAATAAAACTCTGTCAGGATCTTATTAAATAAGTCACTTTCTATACTATTAAGTCACTATCAAAATTTTCATGTATAGTTGATCGAATAAGCTGCAAGTCTCATTAAATTTATTAACTTTTTAACATGCATGTTATAGCACAAAAAAGTCATTGGAACATCTCCAACAACCATGTTAATATACATATTTTGGAAATTTAGGAGTTCTTTTTACTGCAATAACTACGTTAACATTTGTGCTAAATCAGATAGAAAGAAAAAGAAAAGGTATGAATCTCCAAAACGGAGAATTAAAATTTAAAGTTTTTATAAAAAGGTGCAATTCCATCATCTTCTTCATTTTACAGATTACATCATTAATTATATTTATTAAAGCATTCGATAAATTTAATAAAATATTTTTTTTTTCTACCAACAATTTAATTCCAAAGTTTTTTTTATGAGTGAAATATAATAAAAAGAAAAAGACAAATTATATGAAAAAGTAACGTACTTTAACTTGATTCTTATTTTGGATAATGTATTTTAGGAACTTTCATTTTGGTACCTAAAATGTAAAATTTTAAACATTTAAGTATTCAGGTAAAGAGTTGAAGCATTAACCGGTTACCATGCTGATACGACGGAATACTGAGTTGGATACCACATCACTCGACACATCATCATGATAACTGGTTAATGCTTTAATCGGTCACCCAGGTACTTTAATGTTTAAAACTTTACAATTTAGGTACCAAAATGAAAGTTTTGAAAGTACGTTATCCAAAATAATAATCAAGTTAAAGTACGTTACTTTTTCATTCAATTTGCCCAAAAAAAAAAACTATTACTTTCTCATGGTCAGTTATTCAAATTTGAATTTTCTTCATAATTTTGCCATTGTTTGACAATCTGTAACACCAAACAATGCAATGAGGAGAGATGTCATTTTAACCGGTTCCACCACCATCTTAAATATGTTATAACTTTTTAAAATGTATTAGAATAATAAATTTATAGAATATTTTAATAATATAATTAATACTAAAATTAAATATAAATTTTGTAGACATTTTGAAATTTTTATATTTTATTTTAAAAAATTTAACATTGTTGTTGAAGATGCTCTAAACTTTCCGTAAATATCCCCTTTTAAATGTTTATTCTTTTGTCATTTTTTTTCAATTTACGATATTTTTTTCAAAATGGACCCATAAAAGTATGTCACGAGAAGTACATTTCGGAAAAACGTGACTATTTTGTGCTAGTTCGAAAAAAGTGGACCATTTTGTGGTGTGTTTTCACCGAAATCGGCTATTTCAACGATTAACCATTGGTTTCGTAAAACGAAACGGCTATCCAACCATCGAACCCCTTGATTTCACTTTAACATATTCTTTTTGTTTTCAGCATAGTTAGCTTAGATCGTTTTACCGAACACAAAGAACCACAGTTTCTTCAAAAATGGCCTCAAGGAAGGAACCTAACACTAAGCACAAGAGACGAACACAAAAATGGCGAATCCCTTAGCGCTCCAACGACTCCGGTATCGAACCGAGGAATCTTCACACCAACAAACAAGACCGATTTATGTTCATCTAACCATTTCTTTCCTAGAAATCAAGCATGGCTTGCACCAGAGCCGGCTTTGGCTCCACCAGACATGCCACCAGGTGTTGCAAATCATTATCAAACGGTTCTTGATCGAAGTATCCATGGCTGCGATGGTTCACCAGTTCATAGCCCACAAAAAAGAACCAACATCAGAAGTCAGATGTCGTCAAACTCTCCGTTGCAAAAGAGTTTGTCGGCTGAAATTCCAATGAGTCGGCGTGACAGCAATGCCCAGATGACGGTTGGTATAGTCCACCCCTTGCCTCTTCCGCCAGGAGCCGCCGTACCTCCACCATCTTCCCCGCCACTAATCACCAACAAACCTGATTTGATCGCGAAGACACCAAGACACAGTCAATGGCAAAAGGGAAAGCTTATCGGTCGTGGAACGTTTGGAAGTGTTTATGTTGGCGCTAACAGGTTTGTATTGCTTTTTAAATCCATGTCCTTCTGACAGGTTTCTAAGTTTTTATGTGTATGAAACTGACATTCTTTTGTTAATTGATGTCATTCTCGGGTTATTTAGGTATATAACCTTAGATGAAATTTTAATTAAATTCATGATCCCCTGATCTATTAACTAAAATCTCATTTAAGGTTATATACCTAAATATCTCTGTCATCATATTCTCAAACTTGTCAGAAGGTCCTAGATTAAAAAGACCTTCTAAGAAGGTCATTTAACCAAAGGACCCAAACTTGCGTCTTTTAGGTATATAACCTTAAATGAGATTTTAATTAAATTCATGCTGTCTTGATCTATAAAGAAAAACAACTTTATACTCATGAGAAGGTCATGAATTTAATTAAAATCTAGTTTAACATTAGATACCTAAATATCTCTCGAGAACTAATAGTATTTTTCATTTTTTTTATAGAGAGACCGGAGCTTTATGTGCAATGAAAGAAGTCGAAATATTACCGGACGATCCCAAATCTGTGGAGTGTATAAAGCAATTACAACAGGTACGTAAGTTGATATTATAGGACGCCATGTTATGTCTACGTGTCTTAATAAACTGCTTAATAGGACTTACTTTTATAAGACCAAACAATTGTACGCCCTGTATAAATATGTTAAAATAAGTTGAACGAACGAACAGTTGTTTGGTTCTATAAATTTAAATCCTATAAAGCAGTTATAGTCTTTGATTACTCATATGGCTTTCCTTTTCAGGAAATTAATGTTCTAAGCCAACTTAAACATCCAAATATCGTACAATATTATGGTAGCGAAATAGTAAGTGTTTTTCGAATTGTAACGATCACTCGTTATCTATTTCGAAGCAGTAAAAGAGGTTTTACATCAAGTACTTGCAGGTTGGGGATCGGTTTTACATATATTTGGAATACATCCATCCGGGTTCGATCAATAAGTATGCTCGTGATCATTGTGGAGGAATGACGGAATCAATTGTACGGAATTTTACACGGCATATTGTATCCGGGCTCGCCTATTTGCACGGCACAAAGACTATACACAGGTAAGAGTTACGGTCTATTTTGTACCCATTTTGATTGGTAACTTGTTGATCTTGTAACATTTGGTGACGTAGATACCTGTTTACAAAAGGTTTACAGAGAAATGGTCGATAAACTTCACATTCACATCCACGTCATCAGATGATGCAAAATAGCATGTTGCTGGTCAAAATAGAACATTTTGAAGCATTTTTTTAATATTAAATAGTAAAATTCACTAAATATAAACTAAAGCAGATTTCGTTGCATCTTTTTCTTTTTATATACTCAGTTTGGCTTAAAAGGGAGCATAATTGTTTAGGGGTCGGTAAATAAGAATGTTAAATAGAAGGGAAGGTTCATATGTGAATCATTGAAAAAATCAATTTGAGGATGCAAATGTGAACCCATATTAATAATCTGTAATATCAGATCTCATGCATTTTCAAACAGATATTTCCGGATTTTTTCTAAGATTCGCATATGAACCTTTCTTTGATTAATGATATTTAACCTTTTTATTTGAACCTCCGACCCAACTGTTTATACGATAACTAGTTATACGTTAATAGGGAGGGTGAGGATTACCCGTTATCGTACACAAATACCAAGTTTTCAGTGTCTTTTTTCATCAAACTTGAAGGCGATTACGTTTTGTAGGGATATCAAAGGGGCTAATTTGCTAGTTGATGCAAATGGGGTCGTGAAGCTTGCTGATTTCGGGATGGCTAAACATGTAAGATCCGATGCACCGCGGTCATGGACCTATTCACGACTCTACATCAGATTTCTCCTTCTACACATTTTATAAACCTTCTATCCCGAATCATGAATCCGTCCTTGATTTATAGCAGAAAAGAAAGCGGGTAAATTCATTTATTAAAATGGCTTTTGGGGCCCACAAAAAACGATGGTGAAATCGGTCCTTTTTGGTCTCACAACGGTATAAACTGGTTTTTTCATTAATGTTGTAGTATCGGTTTTTGATCCTTTTACTTCAATCTTGTTTTGCAGCTAACTGGGCAGGTTGATCTTTCGTTAAAAGGAAGTCCGTACTGGATGGCTCCTGAGGTATTGTTCGGCTCTAAAATCTTAAACATTACAACCAACCTTTTTACTTTCTTAGGCCTTGTCTGGCAACCATAAACTAGCTTGAGGTTGTTTACTTACGGCTTAATGATTCTAATGGTCTAGACCACATATTTGCTCATCTATACACGCATGTTCCTTTACGGCTTAATCATTAAAGCCATTAAGCCACCTCACTTGTCCCCATTAAGCCGCCTCAAACAAATTAATACCAACAATGTCCTAGAAATAATCCAACCCTCTTTCTTTACCTCCTTCATACAACAATACATTTTTATAAAGACAAACAAATTTATCCAACCAGATAACTTAATCCATACAGGACTTAATGGAAAAAGGTAAACATCCTTGGTTTTTTAGCTAATTGAAAAAACCCAGCTTCGTTAGCCATAAACTTAGCTTATAAACTAGTTTAATTGTTTCAATAAGGTCCATAATTTTTCTTTTTTCTTTCGATTATGCTTCTTATAAACTAATAATATATCCCACACAAAGGTAGAACATGGAAAATACGCCTTGTTCCTACCCCTTAGGATAGAGAAGCGGTTAAATTTTATAAAGCAACTTTTTAACATGTATTTTAGGTCATTTTACATTGTCATCTAGTTTATCAGCTAGTTTTTATCAAACATGACTAGTTTATCAGCTAGTTTGTCTAACATAGCCTTATTGGTATCATTGTTTTTCCTTCAGCTTTTGCTGGGTGAGAAACAAAAGGATTCATGCCCCGATCTTGCTTTGGCTGTCGATATATGGAGTTTGGGTTGTACGATTATTGAAATGATGAACGGGAAACCTCCTTGGAGCGAGTACGAAGGGGTAAGCAGCGGATAGCGGTTAACTTTTCTGCTTTATTTGTGTTTCGTCTGACTCAAAATAATTATCCACGTTTCTATTTTTGTTTGTCCCATAATAAGAGACTACTTTCAAAATAACTGTTTACTTTCTTATGCTAATCTTAATTATGGGATGGAGAAAATTTCTCTCTCTATTATCGAGGGCAAAAGTGTCTTTTTAGTTGATTAAAAATATAATAGTTACACATTTATAAACTGTATAATTTTGTGGACATTTTTTATGGGACAGTGGTAGTAACATTTTATATATAGCAAAACTCACAGTCACTCCTCAGTCCTCACCTAACCCTTAATTTCCAAGAAAGTTGGGCTCTGTTAGTAAACCGAATACCACTGGGCCAATGACACTTTAGTAATTCATTTGAACGTAATGTAACTCATCAATCAACGTTTTCCGCAGCCTGCAGCGATGTTTAAGGTCATCAAGGAGACTCCACCGATACCCGAAACAATGTCATCGGACGGCAAAGATTTCTTGCGGTGTTGCTTTGTTAGGAACCCCGCAGAAAGGCCGACGGCTAACATGTTACTTGAACATAGGTTCTTGAAAAACTCGAGCCAGCTAGATTTTCCGGCTTCGAACAATAGGATGGTGAGTTCATTTCCATGTTTGATTTGTTTATGGTAATATGTTGTTATTGTTATTAAAGATAATAAATGTTTCGGTTTTTGAAGGTGCAAAACCGAAGAGAGCGTTTGAATCATAGACCCGGTTCAATGTCGATGCCCACGGATACATCGACCGCAAAAGGGAAACTTTTGAATAGGTACAAGATATTTCCCTTTTTCTTGTCCCGACCATTGTTGGACGTCCCAATAGAGTACTTGGTGTTTGTTTGTTAGCAACTTAATGAGCTTAATGGGACTAGCAGCTTATTCGGTCAACTATAAATGACTGTATGGTAGTGGCTTAACAATATAGAAAGTGGCTTATTCAGTAAGCTTCCAGGAGGGATTTTTATGCAGAAAGCCAAGTTTTTACAAACTTGCCCCTCCCAATTAAAAAACACACTCCTTCCATGTATGAAAAAACCTCCCAAACAAAAATATTTCCGATCTATATAGACAGATGAGACTTCAAGTTTATAGAACCAACAACTATGCATCCTATAGAATGACGTTAAAGAAAAGCTGTTAGGATGAAGTGAGACGACTTAACAAGTTTTATCAACGAAGTTAGGCGATTGATATGCCTCAAAAAGTAAATCGTCCTATTAGGCTTTCTATATGACACTTGAATTCTATATTTGGGTAAAAAGTTGATAACCGACAACCGCAACCAGCCCTACACGGAACTTGCCTCCAAGGACACCAATGTGAGGGGCATTTTTTTGGCTCAATCCGCGGCAAAGGCTAGTGGAGGGGGATCGAACCTGGCTGTCTTGTTTTTGGACAAAGTCGCTCCGTCCCTTTGCCATCTGAGTGAGTACACACCGAAGGTTGGACGGCCTAAAAGACCCATTTTGTCGTAAAGAATGTTTTGAAGCATTTTACGAACATAATGTCATGTAGAATCATTCTTAATTGCATTTCTTCACGGATTTGGTTTCCGTTTTCTCAATTTCTTGTTCGACTTTTCAGCGTTGACATGAGGATGACTAACGTCTCATACTGACACTACCAACATAACGGTAAACCCCAATTGGTGAATCTTCTCGAGGACCTCCCATTTCGATCCATTATATTCTCGGACAAAAAGACGAATATGCCCCTTCTCGATACACAAGTTCTTCGAGACCGATCGGTGCTTGGAGATCGAAGTTCATCCTGATGATAACAGGGTTATGCTGGTGTTCATTGTAGCTTCATTTGAACCCATTTTGGTGATAACAAATAACGACTGTATAAATAGTTGTACTGTATGTAGTGGAAGTTGTACTTTGGCCCCTTATTTATGGAACCCATATTCCATTCTTTATTGTGGGTGTTTAGATTCAGTTTTGGTATTGTATCGTAGGTGCCCTTTTGAGCCCCTTTTCAATCAATAAAATACATTGATGGTTTATGTTTAATATTGATGTGTTTATTTGTTCTATTTATCATATAATATAAATTAGTGTACAGAGCATCCTCAAAATTTCTTTAAGATAAAAGAATGAAAATTCAAGATCTTCAGTAAAATTTTATTCAACTTCAATAGCTATTTTTATTTTGGAGATATAATATTAATTATCTATATTATATTATAAAACATTTGACAAAAACTCTTAAAAACTAATTTTTATGTATGAAATACTGTTTATTTATGCATATTACTTACAAATTGAAGATTACAAGTAATTTTACGTAATTACAACTTATTAAAGTTTCATTTCTAAATTCGTGTAACTAACTGCAGATAAACATAATCAAATACAAGATAAACATCCATTTTAAATATAGAAAATCTAAAATATAATTAAGATAACCATTGAATTCTAACAAAATGTTTAATTATTATCTTTATAAAAAATTATATTATTAAACCAAAAAATAAATTAGTTTATTATTAAATCTAAATTAAATTATAGTAAAAAATTAAATTAAAGAAGTTACACAAAAAAAAAAGAATTATTAAATAGTTAATTTGATACTAATATCGATTTATTTATTTTTTTTAAATTTTTATGTTATTTTCAAATTTATATTTTATTAAAAAAATAAAAACATTATCGTTTTCTTAAAACCACATAAAATTGTAATATATCGATAAAGACAAAGAATAAAAACTAAACATTAAAATGAAGATTTATCTAGCTGCATTACTCGAGTACCCTTATAGTATTATTAAAATAGTTTATATATTTAACAAAAATGTTATTTAAAGATGCTAAGCTTTTAATTTCAAGATTTCTTATTGGTAAACGTATAATAAAAAATATATTTATTTTAATGGTAATCATTGTTTTGGGAGTTCTGTAAATTTGAAGAAGTAGAGCATTTTCAACATCTATGCTATTTTAAATTTTTGTGGAGATTTAAAAAAATTGGGCTCCAACAGTTATGCTAAACTCTCATCTTAATCTAGAAAACAGATAAATCTCAATCTAAAAAACAGATAACTGTGACTAATAACTGGTTTTTGAGCTAATAAATAGTTTATTTGAAAAAATACAAAATATGAATAGAAGGTTCTTGAAGAGAGCTGATTCTTTTTTACTATCTCTGATATCATAATCCAATAATCTTTCCATCAATCTCCTAAATTCAAAGAATTAGACATTCTTGCACCATAAACACATATTAAAACCACACTACTTTCAAGTGTAATCCTGGTTGTCTTCTACTTTCGACTTCATTTATATAAAAAAATACACATGTATATATATGTAAGTAATATAAAGTGTGTATGAAATTATAGAAAAATCCAAAAAAAAAAAAAAAAAACTAAGAAACACTTTAATAACCATTCATTTATATGATATGTAAATGTACATACGTGTATTTGAATATATACTCTGGCTTTTGTATGTGCATGTACATACCAGACAAAACAATAACCAAATAAAAGAACATAAAAACAGCCAAATCACATGTGATTATATTCTAATAGTTAATGCAAGGGGTGTGCAGGCCACACAAATCACATATGATTTTAAACGTGATATTAGTGTAAATTCACATATGATTCGATCATTTTCTTATTTTTTAATTTAATTATTGTTTTTATTTATATATATATACATACCTACATATATATATAGACTTGAGATCATGTGAGACCAAGAGTTTTTCGTAAGACTCGTAATACCAATTTTCAACCCTTGGATTAGATCTACGATTTGAACATTCATAATCACAAAATGGTCACCGTGCAACTTTAGACCGTTAGATTATTAGCTTATAAAGTTAATCAATAAATATAAATTGGTCTTACGGGTCTCACGAAAAACCCTTGGTCTCACGTGAACCCAACCCTATACATACATATGCATACATATATATATATATATATATATACATATATATACAAAGGCCTAATCAAATGAGAACTGATTAGTTTGTGGTAACTGTGAGGTCCAATCTCAACCACAAATCAACTAATAAATTAGAAAATTAATAATTATGGTAGTTTGAGTTAAAACTATAATTAGAGGGCATATTAGGTATTTTTTAAAAACTCATCTCTCATCTCTCCGATCTCCAATCTCCGGCCTCCGGTGAAATCGGTATCACAATATATCACAATGGATATCACATTGTGTATCTTTGTTTTTAAAGTTTGAGTTGGTATCCTAGTTGGTATTACAATGATATCACAAAATATCACAATGGTATCACAAAATATTAAAATTTATATATATTAACCCCAAAGGGAATGACGCCAATTCCACTTAGTTAGCAACTTTGAACCCAGTTTCCAAACGTAAAAGTGGGATGGTTTCACCTTTGATGTCGACTACTTCCAAACTCCTTCGTAGTGGCACATCCACTCCAAACTAAAACAAACACAAAAACCACTATTTAAACTCATCTCTCTCTTACATTCCTATCCATAGCTTCAAAATCTAACGACCATTTTTCTTGAATCGTTACGGATATGCAACGGTTTTCGATTAGCGTCGTATTTTATCTTTTGATTCTTCGACCCTTTGTTTACGGTCAACTCGATTACCGGTTCTATGATTCCAAGTGTCCTAACTTGACCAAGATCGTTAGGTTCGGTATTTGGTCGGCTATGGCCAACGATACCAGGATTGCTGCATCGCTTCTTCGCTTGCATTTCCATGATTGTATTTCTAATGTAATTAATCATCTATCTTTTTGGAAACAGAATGATGTTTGGTTTAGTTTGATATTTCTAATGCAAACAGAATGATGTTTTTGATGTTCAGGGGTGCGAAGGGTCGGTGTTACTTGATGCGAGCAGCAGTTTCCAAAGCGAGAAGGACGCGAATCCTAATCGAAACTCGGCTAGAGGGTTTGAGCTTATCGATACCATTAAGGCGAACGTGGAGAAAGCGTGCCCATCAACGGTTTCTTGTGCTGATATATTGACACTCGCAGCTAGAGAAGCCGTTTTCCTTGTAAGATCTCGGTTTTTTTATGTTTCATGAAAGAATGATAGTTAGATCACCTAACTTCGTCATAACAATTTATTGTAACGCCTTCCTAGAGGATGCACATACAAATCAAAATCCCGTTAAGTACTCTAGTAGGACGTATTTTGTTGCACCGTGTCGCTTTTTTTAATCGTAAGTGTTTGAGTCAGCTTGGTGGTCTTTAAGTTACCATTGTCATACCACTTTGTTTCGTCTTATATATCTAATTTGCTCTATAATTTTTTTATAGACGGGAGGACCGTATTGGTCTCTAGCCATGGGTCGTCGAGATGGCCTAACAGCGAATATAACTGCGGCAAACACTGATATTCCATCGCCTTTTGAGCCTCTAGAAAATATCACCGCAAAATTCACTACAAAAGGTCTTAATCTAAACGACGTCGTGGTACTGTCAGGTAACGACCAAACCAATGAAATTTTCGTTTGCTTTTCTTTATAACTGACGATTAGTTTAGAGATGCACAAGGCCCGTGCCTTTTGAACCTGTTAACGTAAGAAAAAACAGCCCGTGCTTTGGCTGTGAACATAGGCCCAACCAGACTTTTTCAGACTCCGAAGCCTTGTCAAAACCATATGTTGTTTTTGTATGAAGGTGCACACACGATTGGATTTGCGCAATGCTTCACGTTCAAGCCAAGACTGTTCGACTTTCATGGATCAGGTGCTCCTGATCCACAACTCGATGCATCTCTTGCAACCAGTTTGCAAGGCGTGTGTCCGAATCAAGATGATTCGGATACCAATCTAGTCCCGCTGGATGCGGTCACAACTACAAAGTTCGACAATATCTATTTCAAAAGGCTCGTGAACAACTCAGGGATTCTCGGTTCGGATCAAGCCCTAATGAGCGATAATAGAACCGCGCAAATGGTTATAAATTATAGCAAGTTTCCATTCTTGTTTGCGAAAGATTTTGGTGCATCGATGGCGAAGCTGAGCACCGTGGGAGTAATTACGGGCCAAGACGGTCAAGTTAGAAACAAATGTAACGTTGTAAACTAGAAATCCCGGAACGTATTAATGATTATCGTAGATTTGGTCTAGAACCCGTTAATATCTATACGAATAAATTTTATCGCAAATATTTGGGATCGAGATACGTACACAAACTTACGAAAACAACATTGTAGAAATAAGATCTGCATATATCATACTCATCAACAACCAGCCCAAAAACTAACACTGTAACTGTAGCTAACAAAAAGTCCTGTATGGATAAATTTGTCTGTCTGGATAAATGAATGTTGTTGTTTACTTTTTTTATCTGAACTAACAGTTTGAATAACATAAATGACCTATTTACCCTCCAATATTAATTATTTGAACATCAAAACAAAAAAAAACATAAAGAGGCCGAAGATGGGGTGTCTCATATGGGAAGGAGGCGGTGCTTTAAATAAAAGGTAGGGGTGTCATTTTTGTCGCTAAATGGGGACAACACATCATTTCTATCTGTGTGATTAAGCTATGTTTTGTGCGAATAAGCCGTAAGTAAACAACTCAAATGAGCTATACGAATAAGCCAGATAGACCAATAAGTTTAATTAAGTTGCAAATAAACAGCCTCTAAGTCACGTTCAGTAAAATTAACTGAGAAACTAACTAAAAAAACAAAAACAATTTATTAATCATTTAATTTTACATAAATTTTGCTTTTTGATACATGAATTGCTCATCCAAACAAGTACTTTATTTTTCGAGCAAAATATGATTTTATTTCGATAAAAATGGATCGTTTCTTTTTTATCCCTCCATGGGCCATTTGTTTGGCCCGAGCTCTCGGAAAAGGAGTCCCGGGTTTTGATCTAAAGCCCGTGACTTCTTTATCAGATATCTCTCCTTCCTTAACCGACCCATACGGGTCCGTCAATTTTTTTAAAGCCGAATCTCGACTTTCTTCGGCTACCACTCTTTGTTCGGTGGCTACAACCACCCGCCAATCGGCCAGGGACGTCTCCTCTTTCGCCCGTCGTGTTAAAGCAAAGTAGTCCTCTTGGGTTAGTTCGATCGTGTCGGTATGGTCTAGTGACCTGGCTCGACCGATCTGGTCCACAGCGGCTGCCGCCGATGCCGCATACGCTTCAGACTCCAACCGCACGGCTCGTAAAGTGAGTTTTAGCGTCCGAAGTCTCTGCCGTCTCAACTTGATCCCCTTTCTCATCTTCGATCTCGTTCGCCTTATTTCATCGGTTTCGAGTTTGATTCTTTCCATCTCTTCCCTTAGTGCTTCCGAAGCTCGAGTCATGTGGTTGATCTCGGTTCCGGCTTTCAGTTCTTCCTCCTTCTTAGCCCTAATCGTCAAATGAATCTCCATGAGCTCCGATTCGAGCTTCGAAACTAGCCCGTTGTCCGACTGTTCTTTGGCGTCGGCAAGGCCCGATTGGAGCCGTTCGAGCTCGTCGATTAGAGGCCGCGAATCGAGCCATGACTGCATGGCTTCATCCTTGGCTTGTTTGAGTTCTTCGTTGGTTCTATGGAGTTCTTCAATCTTGTCTGAAAGCACATAAAGTTCTCTGGCTCTATATGTTCTATTATCTTCATAGGAATCCATTTCTGGGTCCATGATTTCTGCAAGTTTCATGAATCTTGTTGATCGTTTTATGATGATGAGTAAATTACGTTTTTCGTCATTGTGGTTTTATTAAAAATGCATATATGGTCCTTATAGTTTTGAAATTGTGATTTTTGTTTCTATGGTTTGAAATTCATTATGATTTCATCGGAGGTTATTAAGTATGAGAGACCAAAATAGCAGTGAATGGTACAGCATAGTGACGAAAACAACAATACAATTTAAATTATAAGAACGAGAATAATAATGAATAGTAAATCATAGGTACGAATACCATAAGGACAAAATCCATAATTTTTCAGAAACTATAGGGACTAAAAATGTTATTTTGGATAATGATGAAAGGAAGTGAAGTTTTTTAAGGATTCTTTTTGGGTCGTTTTCAGCCGTAGGGGAAAGTTACGTGGGTTTCATCGGGATTTGTCTGTCAAAGTGGCCTTTGCGATTGGCTGCTATTGAAGTTGTCAAGGTTCGGGTAGGGCCATAAGCCAACAGAACGAACATGAATGAAGGTTTATTCATGTTCATTCGTTTAACTTAATCGAACAAACGAACGAATACGAATGGTAAACGAACAAAAATTTTTATATTCATGTTCGTTCGTTTAGAAATCAAGTGTGTTCGTATTCGTTTATATTCGTTCATTAACATGCTAAACGAACCGACTAAACGAACATAAATAAATATTATTTGTATTCAAAGTAAATAAACAAAAGATTGTATATTAAATTTAACTAAAATGGTACTCATGCAATGCAGCGAGATACATTTTGATTTTAATATTTTGTTTTATTTTTTTATATCAGTCGATGTTATAATATGGTTTTATGTGGTTTTAAAAATACGATAATGTTTTTATTTTTGAATAAAATATAAATTTGAAGATATCATAAAAATTTGACAAAAATATATCGATATTGGTATTAAATTAACTTTTTAAAATTTCTTATTTTTTGTGTAATTTTTTTAATTATAATTTAATTTAGGCTCAATAACGAAGTAATTTATATTTGGTTTAATAATATAATTTTAATAAAGATAATAATTAATTATTTTGTTAGAACTTGATAATTATTTTAATTATATTTTAGATTTTTTATATTTTAAAATGAGATGTTTATCCTCTATTTTACTATGTTTATCCACAGTTAGTTACACGAATTCAAACATGGAACTTTAATAAGTTGTATTTACGCATAATTTACTTGTAATCTTGAATTTTAAGTAATATGCATCAATAAATAGTACTTCATGCATAAAAAATGGTTTTTAAGAGTTTTTGTCAAATGCTTTATAATATAGTATAGATATAGAAACGAATATAAACGAATGAATACAAACGAATGGTAAATGAACGAACGTTCACGAACATAAATGAACGAATGGGTTATTGATGTTCGTTCGTTTAACTAAACAAAAAAATTTGTTCATGACCGTTTATTTATTAAATAAATGAACATAAACAAACTTTTCGCCAAACGGTTCGCTGAACGTTCGATTCGTTTACGGCTCTATTTTAGGGTAACGGATAAAAATCTGTTGTTTCTTTTTGTTTTTTGTATACACACACACATATATATAATGTAAATCGAATGCAACTTTTTCAAATATTGCAATCAATATATGTAACTTAATAAAATTTAATTATTTGAGAACTTCTAAATTTATCAGATCTATGAGAAATTTCTACCTTAAAGTTTTGTTTCACGTGATTCTTTTCCATCGAAATATAATATTCAATGTATTGATTAACATATATTTATTTCATAATATATTTGTTTCATATGTATTCGATTTACAATGTGAAATCTTTTTTACGTGTATTTTTTGATTCACAAACATGTAAAAGTGTTCAGATTGTAAACCGTGTACATGTGAAATAAATATATGTTAATCAATATTTTAAATCTTATTCTTAGATGGAAAAAAAAAAGTCATATGAAATAACACATTATACACAAGTTCTCAAGATTATCATAACTACGTAAATTCTCAAATGAAAGCCCCTATATATAAATTTCACAATGTGTTTGTTTCACACATGTATAATGCATTGGTTCTTACAGGTCTCACGATTTAAAGAGTTTTAAAGAGAAGGTATTTTTTGATGACACATATTTATACAATTGATGGACAAAAATGATTTTGAAATAAAAAAGATTAGTATGAAAAACGTATTAAATGGCTTAAAGATCACATGAAATATTAAATAGGTTGGGTTTACGTGAGACCAGGTTATTTTTATGAGACCGTGAGACCACAAAATAACAATGAAACTTCACAACAAAACATTGTGAAATTAAGACTTTTATCCTTGTGGTTTTGAAAATTGTAATTTTCATCTCTGAGAATAACTTTAACTTCTATCTTTAACTACGATGGTCTAAAATAATAAATAGTAATATGTCATAGGAACGAAAACAACAATAAATTATAAATCATAGAATTAAAATCGTAATTTTAAAAATAGAAGGATGAAAATAATAATTTTGAACAAAATTTTAAAAATAAAAGAAAAAAATAACAATTTTCAAAAAATGCTGAGGACGAATAAACAATTTGCTTTTTTTTTTTTTTTGCATAGGCATTTATAATTTGTGTTAAAAGGGCTTGGGCCTATGGATGATATGATTGGGTCTGAATTAGTGTTGTAATTAACCCGATTGGCTGAAAATTTGATATTTTATTAGCCGATGATTTACGAAAACCATGTATTTTATCTTCGGGTAAAATACGTGAAATAACAACCTACTTTTATTAAAAAAAATTTAAAGTATTTTACTTTCAGTTTTTCTTATAACAACAATGTACTTTCAAAAAAAAATTTATTAAGACATCGTACTTTCAAAAATTTACCTGTTACAGCATTGAGTAACCTTTTAAATTAAATTTACCCATTATAACAGGTTTCTTTGAAACATGATCATCCACGTAGGCTGTCCACATGTACGATAATGCTGACGTGACATCTTTTATTATAGCATTGTACTTTCAAAATTAATTTATTATAACATCAACGATTTCTATTACAACATCGTATTTTTAATTTTAATATATTTATCATTTAAACATTGTAAATTTAATCAAATATGTATACTAAAAATTATAATATTAGAAATTAAAACATGTTTATAAAAGATCATTATTTCACGAATAAAAATATTCATAAAAAATCATTCGTTCAATGAGTTCATCGTAAATTTCATGGCTTACTTTGTAATGCCAAAAACTAAACAATTGGAAAATCTCTTCAAACAAAAACTCATCCTATGTACTTCCATGCGTAGATGATCTTTCTAAGGTTAAAAGTGGGTTGGGTGCTTTCATAGTTGAGGTTAAAAGTGGGTTCATGTGTTTGCCTAATTAATTTCGACTTTTCGAACCCCAAATGATAGGGATATATATATATATATATAGGGTTGGATTCACGTGAGACCAAGTGTTTTTTGTAAGACCCGTAAGACCAATTTATGTTCATTGATCAACTTTATAAGTTAATGATCTAATGGTCTAAAGTTGTACGG